GCTGGAGATAAGGATTCATTTCTACAAGATAGAAGTCTGACATTTGAGATTGTTAGACAGAGAGGCAGAGACACAAGCAGAGGGAGAAGCAGGCTCAATGGAGGGAGCCCAATGCGAGACTCTGTTCCGGGACTCGAGGATCAGGCCCTGAGCCAAAGACAGATTCTCAAGTGCTGAGCCACCCAGGCGTCCTGAGAAACATTTTTATTTTTTTATTTTTATTTTTATTTTTTAAAAAATATATATTTTATTTATTCATGAGAGACCCAGAGAGAGAGAAAGAGAGGCAGAGACACAGGCAGAGGGAGAAGCAGGCTCCATGCGGGGAGCCCGATGTGGGACTCGATCCCAGAACCTTGGGGTCACGATCTGAGCCAAAGACAGCCGCTCAACCCCTGAGCCACCCAGGCGTCCCTGAGAAACATTTTTTTTTTTTTCCTGAGAAACATTTTTAAATGTAGAATTGAATTAGCAAAAACCCTGTGAGGTCTAGACTTTCTTTTGTGAACTGACCTTACACTTTAAACTCATTTTATTTTATTTTTTTTTAATTTTTTTTTAAATTTTTTTATTCATTTATGATAGTCACACACACAGAGAGAGAGAGAGGAGCAGAGACACAGGCAGAGGGAGAAGCAGGCTCCATGCACCGGGAGCCCGACGTGGGATTCGATCCCGGGTCTCCAGGATCGCGCCCTGGGCCAAAGGCAGGCGCCAAACTGCTGCGCCACCCAGGGATCCCCTTTAAACTCATTTTAGAAGAAATATATTGTCAATATTTTAGCTTAATTTCACATACAAGGAAATTGTCAGATTTTTCTTTTTGTTTTATGAATTTAAAAATCCCTGCATGGTCATTTATTAACTTTGTGTTAGTACACAAAGTTAGTGGTTCTCAAGTTATGTGAATTACTTGGGGAGCCTTTTAAAAATATCAAAGCCATGGGGTGCCTGGCTGGAAAACGTGCGACTCTTGACCTCAGGGTCACGAGTTTGAGCCCATGTTGGGTGTAGAGATTACTTGAAAATAAATTCTTTAAAAAAAAAAAAAATCAATGCTGGATAAGAAATCAAAGGTGGCATCCGAACTTTCTTTTAAGCTCCCTGAGTGATTTTGATGTATAATCAGATTTTATGAGAAACTTGATACCAAAAAAAAAAAATTAAAAAATTAAAAAAATAAAAAGAAACTTGATATCACATATGCAGAGTCGAAAGCAGACTTTTTGAGTCACCATTCCATATCCCCAATTCCTCACCTGGTGTCTGCGACATAGTTAATGCTCAAGTATGTAATTGGTGTTTTTGCATACCTAGAGCCTATCTATATTTGTTATAAAATTTAAATTAGACTTGCAAAAGGGAAAAATTTAAAATATCATTGTACATTAAAAACAAAAACCCAAAAAACCAAAGTCACATAAAGTGAAATACCTGAAGTAATATAACTTGTTAAAATGACCTCAGAGCACCTGGCTGGCTGAGTTGGTAGAGCATGTGACTCTTGATCTCAGGGTGTGAGTTCAACCCCACATTGGGTGTAGAGATTACTTAAAATACTGAAAACAAAATACAAAAAAACTGGGCCTTAAGACTATAGTATTATTTCCACTTAAGCACTTTATTGATGTTTATGTTGTGGTATTTCAGTGTTACTTGCTTATAGAATAAGTGTGACCAGGGATGCCCCACATTGGCCCTAGAGCTTATTTAAAACAATTTTTAAAAAAGACTAAATGTAACCACTCATGCTACTTTAAGGAACCATGAGGCTTAGCTTCCTTAATCATACTTTATTGTTGTTTAGGTATAGGTTTAGGCCCTATTATGAAGACTTGTGGAGGGAAGTTGATAGAGCAGAGCAGGATGATAGAGCTAAGCAGCTGTCTGCTGAGGCTGGATCAAGCATGTAGAGAGCCCATATTTCCTGTATTTGCATACTTACAGTTCTTAACGTAGAGAACTGTATGCTTGGTCAAGTGTAGATGTTCCTTGTAATTATTCCTCAGAGTAGTGTGTATTCTGATCCCCAGTTCTTTATACCTTAGGCACCATCCAGGAAGATTACCTGAGAGAGCTGCTGACAACCATGGGCGACCGGTTTACAGATGAGGAGGTGGATGAGTTGTACAGGGAAGCACCTATTGACAAGAAGGGGAATTTCAATTACATTGAGTTCACGCGCATCCTTAAACACGGAGCAAAAGACAAAGATGACTGAAAAGACCTTCAAATTCCAGCCAAACGTTCCTTGTTGCCACTTTGGGTATTTCTGAGACTTTCTCTTAGAGTCTGTTGCATGCCCTTTGCTTTGCAGCTTTTGCCTTTCTTGTTGTATTTATTCTCAGCCATTTGGGGCACATGCATCTCTATAATCAGACTGGAAATGGGATTTTTTATGATTTTTCAGAATAGAAAATAGGGCAATTTAACTTACCAGCCCCCCTCCCCAAAATAACCACAGTCTACACAGAGTCAGTATATTTTTTCAGAGAAAGTTATTCACTCAATTTTTTCTGAACCATAATTAAACTTTATGATAAAAACTTACTTGTACTTGTTTAAACTTCTTATTTACCAAAATGAGCTTTTGTTAGTTGCATCTTCCGAAGAAAGGTAGATGAGGGACGCCTGGGTGGTTCAGTGGTTGGGTGCCTGCTTTTGGCTCAGGGTGTGATCCTGGATGCCCAGGTTCGAGTCCTGCATCCGGCTCCTTATATGGAGCCTCCTTCTCCCTCTGCCAGTGTCTCTGCCCCTCTTTCTTTGTGTCTCTCATGAATAAATAAGTAAAATCTTAAAAAAAAAAAAAAGGTAGATGAGACACATCCTAGCAAACGATGTGGTGGTTACACCACTCCCTTACTCCTTCCTGTTTCCCTAACAATCCTTTCTCTACCATATATTCCTCCCCCTTCCAAAGAAATCCACGTTTAACTGCCTTAATCGGGTTTCCTGCACTTTGTCTTTCACTTTTAAAAATAATTCTCTATAGAATTTGCATGGACATGATAGTTTTGGTAGCTTTAAATCCTTAAGTTTAACATATCTGTCAACATCCCTCATCTATCCTAAGCTTCTGTGCATTACTTTATGTCATTTAAAATTAGAGCAGGCCACTGAGTGTAATTTTAATTTGTCCTAATTTTTTGAAACTATTTTAGCCCCAAAAGGTTCTATGAAATGCTTTTTACCAAAAAGACTTCTTTGTATTGTATTGCGAAATGTTGGAAGTACAATCCAGTATTTTTCTATTGAATGTAATTTCTTTTTAAATACAACAGTCCCTCTTGAAATACCATGTTTGTTTACACAGAGATTCACCATGAGTCCATGTATGAATTTTGGACATTCCTGACTTGCCCACAATCAAAACAGCTGAAGCTACATGCCTGGGAAAGTGAGATCATTATTTCAATCCTAAAAATAACTTCTGCTATTTGCAGAAATGCAGGACTGTTTCAGAGTTAATCAGGAAGTGATAGAGTTTCATTTGATTTTAGGCTTCAAAAATCTTTCAAATGTTCATGAATTTAAAAAAGACCTTGAAATGCTGGGAGAAAAGGTTGGTTGAAGAGAGTTGATGGCCTACAAAGATGAGTAATTGACAATTACTCTAATAACTTTATGTTTTATGCTACTATTAACAAGACTATCCTTGGACAAAACCATTACCTCATTCAGTAAACAATTACTGAATGCCTTCAAGGCAGCAGACCTTTGCACTCAACAGGATAGCTGAGCTAGATCCTTTAATTGTGGTGCAGCCAGCTTTACAGAGCAGAAGTATAAAGACTAGAAACAAGACTGCTTCTGCCCCCTTCAAGATTAGAATCTTAGCACCTCCCTAACTCTGCCCTTTATGTGTTTCTGAATTTCATTCAGTGGGTTAAGCAAAATACTTGTCCAAGGCTCTTAGCCATGATGACTAAAACCTGGTTTGTTGAATTTCCATTTCTACTGGAAACATGGTCACTGCTGTTTTTAACAAATTTTCAAATAACATTGTTTCCACTACAGAAACAAAGTGGTCTCATCTACTAAAATGAGCTCTTGCAGTATCCCCATTTTCATTTCAAATAACTGTTCAAAGAATCAGCTTCCATTAGGAACAGTGAGTGGTCTCCTATGAATGAAATGTCTCCTAATATCGTACTAGCATTCTCCACATAGTAACTAGGTTTTATTTAAGCAAAGATGATTGCCAATAAAAAGCTAAAGCATCTACTCCCAGCAGTGGATTTGACTGAAAAACCAGTCTCCATGAAGAAGGTCCTATATTTCAAAAGTTCTCATGAAACCAGCATATGCGCAAGCAGCATCCTTATCCATCTGCTATGATTATTATATGATCATTGGACTCCAGGGCCCAAATTTTACGCAGTCAAGGAGCCTATGACTCAAGAGCAGAAATTGTTGAGTGTTACTGAGAAAAAAAGGAAAACCAAACTATATGAGATTAGAAAAATCATATTCTGAAAAGGAAAGGCAACCATTTCCTCTAAAATATGAATAGAGAAAGGACAAAAAGTAGAATACCTGGATTTAGGGACATGGAGAAAAGTTAGAAGGAAAATCAGATAGAAGACTATAAAAAGGCTCGAAGAAGTAGAGCCACAATCAGTATTGTAGAAATCAAGTGAATAGTTTCGAGAATGAGGAGGTTAGTCAGTAGTATTAAATTGCAGAAAAGCTGAGTAAAGTTGAAATGGGGCCACTAGATTTGACACATCATTGGTCACCTTTGCTAGATCTATTAGATAGAGGGTTTTGTTGTTTTTTTTTTGTTTTTTTTTTTAAGATTTTGAGAGAGCAAGAGAGAGAGCACAAGTAGGGGAGGGGCAGAGGGAGAAGCAGGTTCCTGCCGAGGAGGGATCTTAAAGGATCTTGATGTGGGGCTGGATCCCAGGACCGTGAAATCATGACCTGAGCTGAAGGTAGATGCTTAACTGACTGAGCGACCCAGGTACCCCAAGGTAGAGTTTTGAACACAGGATCCAAACGGTGGACAGTGCCTAGGTTTAGGGATCAAGCCAATCTGCATTTTAATCCCATTTTTGCTACATAGCTTCATAGCCTTAAGTACGTTATTTAAATTCCCTGGACCTCTATTCATTTTTAAAATGGAAGTAATGATATTGGTTCATCATAGGAATATAATCTGTTAATACACAAAGCAGCACTTTTTTGTGACTAAGAGCAGTAAGGGATTTAGAGCCAGACTTGATTTAGTGAATTCCACTACTTGGCTTTGTATCCTTGGGCAGGTCACTCTTAAGTGTCCATTTCATTACCTATATAACAGGGATGATAACCTCCAAGTTGTATTGTGAAAATCAGAGACACTAAAGCTAAATGGTCTGGCACACAGTAGGTATTCAAAAAGTTACTGCTCTGTATACCAGTGAAGGGTCTGAAGTTGGCAATGAAGAGAAGCTTGAAGGGAACGTAGGTACAAAGGGCTCAGCTTCAGAGATTCAAGCCTGTTTGTAGACAGAGAGGAAAAAGACTAGGGGAAACAATCAGTGACACAAAATGAATCATGTCCAGGAGATAGGAAGGGACAGAACCTAGATCACATGTTGTAGGATTATCCTATTATCCTAGAGAAATAAAAATGGATACTGTTCCCTCTGAAAAGAGGGAAGGGTGGGTGATAGGAGTTAAATGGTAGTTGGAAATAAAAGGCTGAGGATAAGAGAAAGGTCCATAGTTGTTTGATAGTAAATTAGCTCAAACTAGAATTGTATTATAAGAGTGCTCACTTTGGCAGCACATATACTAGAATTGTATTATACTAAAGGGTTAATACGGATTGAATAAGAGTACATTAAAAAGTCTTATCAGTTTCCTGGTACCAGCTACATGCTGAAATAATTTAGATTTCTAGAGTAGATCTAATATGTAGACCTGTTTGTATCTTCCTAGGTCTTCCTTAAGTGTACAATTTATTTCCCTGAAATTTGTTTTTTTATTATCCTTGAAGGCATTACCAGAACTAATCCCACATGGAAGGCCCAGTTTTCCCAATGCTGCTTCTCCCATTTCCACTTGCTCTTGAATGTCCAAGTACCTGTATCCTTTTACCGTAGATTCTATCTCCCTACTCAGGTAGTGTCCTAATGTCCTAAAATGTATTTTATAGTTGTAATGAATATACAACTTGTTTTTTAGTTTAATGTATCTCAACTTACCTTTCATGTTTTGATATAGTCACCATTTTTATTTTTAGCCATTCTTTTTAATGACCACAATTGTCTTTGACATGGATATGCCTTAGCCATTACCCAAGTGGTAGATATTTAGATGTTGGGCTTTTCATTAATAAATATGTTTTTCTTTTGAATCTAGAGAACAATATACCTTAGAAATAATTATTTTTTATAACAGGGCTCTCCTCTATGGTGACAGAAATGCTCTCTCTGCTTTGCAGTAAGGACACTAGCCACATGTGGCTATTGAACACTTAATGTTTCTAATATAAGCGAGGAGCTGAGTTTTTAATTAAAATTTATATGGCCACATGTGGTCAATGACTGTTGTATTGGAAAGCAGTTCCATAAACAAATACGGAGATCAAAATCAAGGTACAGTCCTGGTCCCTCAGCTATGATCTTAATTAAGGTGGCCAAGGTGATGGCTTATGGGATGGTAATAGATCTCTTGAAGAACTCTATGACATAGACTGAAGGAAGTCAAAATCTTCTGATTTTGAGTGGAATAAAAAGTTACACTTTTGGACCAAAGAGCACATTGCAGCCAAGGGAAAGAGTAAATATTTTAGAATGGTGTGACTTTTCAGAAATTGCTTTTCAAATTATGAGAAGATGCATTCTGTAATGATCCAGACCCTGGACAGTGTTTCCCAGATGAGGACCCCGGCGTCAGCATTCCCAGGGTACTTATTAGAAATGCAAACTAAACTAATGCCCCACCATGGACGTACGGAATCTTGAGTGTGTGGGGCTCAAGAATCTTTTACAAAGCCCTCCAGGTTTTTTGTTTTTTTTTTTAAATTTATGATAGTCACACAGAGAGAGAGAGAGAGAGAGAGAGAGAGAGGCAGAGACACAGGCAGAGGGAGAAGCAGGCTCCATGCACCGGGAGCCCGATGTGGGATTCGATCCCGGGTCTCCAAGATCGCGCCCTGGGCCAGAGGCAGGTGCTAAACCACTGCGCCACCCAGGGATCCCTCCTCCAGGTTTTGCTTACAGTGCTGCTGTAGAACTGGTAGAGTGCTGAACACATGGTTCCTACTATCTAGGAATTTCTGATCAAAGATTTCTAGGATAAAAAAAATTAAAAATCAAAAAAAAAGATTTCTAGGATAAAAAAAAAGATTTCTAGGATATAAAGGCATTTTTATTCCTCTTCCCCAGCATCTGTCACACTTTCAGGCAGGCACTCACAAGTGCTCAATAAAGGTTTGGTATTAGGATGACTTATCCTTCATTACCCAGAAATAGTGCTATTCCTCTATATTATTCCAGATGAGGAAACCGAAGGGTATAGGCAACAAACAATCTCTGAAACAAAACCCAGATCATGTAACT